TCGGAATCTGGGGTGAAAGGGGTCCCAAGAGCAGTCTGGGACAGAAAAAGCTGTAGAAGGAGGGCCTGCTTGTTTGCCCTGACCACCCAGAACCGAAATAACCACACAGAAATTGTATTAATTAAACCACTGCTTGGCCCTTATTAGCTCTAACTTCTTATTGGTTAACTCTTACATCTTAATTTAATCCATTTCTATTAATCTGTGTATCACCACAAGGTTGTGGCCTACCAGCAAAGTTCCAGCACGTCTATCTCTGGCGGAGGATCCATGGCATCTCCCTCCGACTCCGCCCTTATGTCTCCCAGCATTCAGTTCCGTCTTTCCCGCCTACCTAAGTTCTACCCTATCAACAGGCCAAGGCAGTTTCTTTATTCGTTATCCAAGAAAAGCAACACACAGACAGAAGGATTTCCTACACCAAAAAGTGACCAGGAAGAGGGAGCTCCATGGCCAGAAGGGAGTCTGCCACGGGGCTCTAAATTAACCTGAGAGGAAAGAAGAAGGGGAATGTCTTGACGTGGGACTGCTTTATAAACTGTCATTTTGTATTTGCGTCTGTGTGTGTGCTGTGTTGACCACCACTGCATGTGTTCCTGTGCACCAGCCACCTTGTTTTTTAAGAGTCTTCCACTGATCTAGAAATTCCTGATTAGGCTAGGATGGCTGGCCAATAAGCCCCAGGGATCCCGCCGTTTCTGCCTCCCCAGTGCTGGGATAGCAGGCGCTCACCACATACTCCGCTTTGGGGTGAGCACTAGGGACCAAATGCTGGTCCTTGTTCTCAAACAGTAACTTTCCTGAGCTATCACCCCGGTCCCTGAGGGGTGCTTTCATGATGCTCCCTCCTCCCATCTCTGTCCAGGGATGTGGTTCAAGGCACCACTTAGCCCACAGTGGTCACACTAGAGACGTGGATCAATTCAAGACTGACGTCAAGGAATGACCAGGACAGCCAATGCCACATCACCAGGGGCCCCTGGTGGCCCACAATCCTGTCCTTCTTCAGATGCTGCTCCCGGCAGAGAAGTCAGGCCACAGGGTAGGTCCCTCAACAGCCATCATAAGCTGTGCTTCCACCTGGATACAGGCACTTAACCCCTCTGCCTTGGCTTCCCCCTTGTAAATTTACAGCAAGCACTTGTCTCATAGGCTAGCTGTAAAGGTTAAACACACACCAAGCTCTAAGTTAAAAGAGTGTCGATCACCAAGGGCCCCGATCTAGCAGCAGTGGGCAGCTGCAGGGCAGATGCTGCTGTGGACCCCACCACCACTTGCCTGGCATGAAGCAGCTTCCCTATACAGAAGTGCAGAGCAGCTGTCCTGTCCCTTCATCGCCTCACCTGTGAGGATGGACAGCCTACGCATGGCAGGGAACGGGTGGTTGCCAGAGGTGTCCAGGATGTCCAGCTGGTACATGTCCCCGTGGATGTTGTACACCTTTCGATGAAAGTCCTCGATGGTGGGCGTGTACTGGTCCTCAAAGCGGCCGTTGAGGAAGCGGGAAACAATAGAGCTCTTGCCCACACGGGAGGCACCCAGCACCACCATCCGGTAGGAGTTCTTGGCAGGCACGCTGAGAGTGCAGTTCCCGCTGGACAAGGTCTTCATCATGGCTCGGGGCTGCAGCAGAAGTGAGGAGGAAGGTGTCAGGGAGCCTCCTGGTCTCCCCCAGGTGGCCCTGTCTAGTTCTCTGTTTTCTAGTGTAAAACAGAAGCCATTGACCAGGGTTCTCGAGGGACCTCAGAATTCGAGCCACTCCCTCGTTCGTTCAGTCATACATGACCTCCGATCTTTTTGCTCCTCTTCCCAACTTGCTCACTTATCCATCCCCACACGCTTGAGCACAGGACAAACCATAGGGTCCCAGCCTTGCTGCTCACTGGGAGGAAGCTCTCCCTACACAACTCAACTGTGGCAGCTGAAATTCCCAAAGCAGCAACTTCCACTAGGGGGCAGCCTTCTCTTACAGCGTCCACTTCCTTAGTCCACAACTGCCGGGATCCAGAGTCTGGTATACGGCTCAGTAGTCAGTCTACATTTCTTAACCAAAGGGGTCCTATGGCTCTGCAGTTCTAACGGGAAGAAGGGAAATGCGGCAGTCCAGGCCTCTACCCTGCCAAACCCGGTCACCTCCCTGGATACACCCTGGACTCAAGGTTTGCAACAAGGTGGGCTCCTTCTCTCATACAGCCTACCACTGGCTCAGTAACTTATGTCTCTGGACTACCTGAACCTGAGTGAGGGGGAAAGGGACTCAAGCCTCATGACTCCAAGGACTGGGGTTCTGGAGGGAAACCCAGACTTCTTTGGGGGGGGGGGGAAAGCCTCAAGGGAAAAAAAAAGGCTCATGAGCTCTTGATCCAGGTGGACCTATGCAGATTTCTACTGCTTCAACAGGTTACCACGGGGCCATGCGCTGTTGTCTCAGCACCCTAGGGTCCTCCAGACTGAGATGCGCCTCCACACCTTCGCTACCATCAACTTCTCCCCAGAAGACCCTTCTCCTCTAGTCACGGAGTCCACCCTAAATGCCACCTCTCTAAAGGCTGTCGGCCTTCTCCTCCCAGAAGAACCACCTCCACGCATAAAAAGGACAGCTTGCTAACTCCAGAACTGTGTGTGTGTTCACAGGCCTGCAGAAACACGGGTGCTCCTGGCTGGCCAGCACAGGTTGTGCAGGCTGAGAACCGCACAGAACACACCTTGAGAAGGCAAGGAGGGGGCGTCTTCTTGAGATGTATCTGTTCAGAGCAAGCTCTGCTGCACAAGCGTACTGTGCACACCGAGACTTCTTCATCGTCATGATCAGACTATCATGGGGCCGGAGTCTGAGATGGCCACCAGGGCTGAGTGACAGCCTCCTGAGTGCAAGTCTCCAGGCATGCACCCACTCTGATCATGTCTGCTAGCCTGCCCGCCTGAAGGCCCTTCACCTTCCCTAAAAGCCCTGCTTGGAGGTGGATCTCTGTGAGCTCCAACTAGTCTGGTCTGGTCTACAGAGGTAGTTCCAAGACACCTAGGGCTACACGAAGAAACCCAGTCTCCTAAAACAAAAACAGAAAAGCTTACTTGGTATCATTTGTCAATTTCTACGGTGTAAATGATCCCAGCTCCCAGCCGGCAACACGACCTCCAAGAATGAACGGCAGAGACAAACACAATGGGCCAGCACACGGTGGCGGACCCAGGCCTCCCATCGGAACCATCACTCCTGGGCCAAGCCCAGGTGTGTGCCAAGTCTAGGCTAAGTATAGAATAATAACACCGCTGACATTTATTTTGCAGTTAATATATGTCACAGTGTTGTGAGCACCAGGCATACACCTGCTCCACTCCTCAGTGACCCAGAAGGGAGATGATGAGGACACTGAGACACGGAGACGCCAAGGTGCTGGCAAGGAGGGTCTGCTCTGCGGTGTCTGTCCTGCACTTCAGGGACCACTTCCCATCATAACACGAGCTTTTCTGCCCAGGCCACTAAGGGCCATGGCAGCTGCCCACTGGTAAAGTGCTGATCCTAAGGTCCTTATGTCCCCCGCTGAATGCGTACCAAAAGCAGGCTGAGCCTATACTTTGGGGATGCAGCACTATGTACACAGAAGGTGCTCAATAAATGATCCCTGAGAGAAATTGCAGATGACTGTACCATCGGGCTCACCCAACCCTCTCACTCCCATCTCCCGCCCCATTCTGGCTATGAGACCTCCTCCCTTCATCCACTCCACCTGCCTGGCCCCTGGCTGCAATGAGAAGAATCCCACCCCACCCCCAGTACTGCTGCAGGTCCCCAAGCATGGCTTTGCCCCCCAGAGGTACCCACCCAGTCCCGCAGAGAGAAAGGAGCCAGCAGGCACCAGGGACACTGCCAGCCTCCATTGTAGTCCAGACCTCCCAATACACAGTGACTGAAAGGGGGGAGGCAGAGAGCAAGGCAGGCAGCAACCAGACTGGACGGAGTGAGAGGGAGCAGACATGAAGGTGGCGAAAGGCAGTTCGAAGGAGGAAGCACCAAGGGATAGGGCAGGGCAGAGAGTCAGAAATTAGAGACAGTGGATCAGAGAGGGGTGGAGACAGAGGAACCCAAAGCTATCTGTGACAGCTGTGCCTCGGCCACGTGGGGCTGTGCGAGGCTCGCAGATACCTGGAAGCCAGGTGACAGGGCCTCTGACTCCACCCCACAGGAGGCTCTGAAAAGGCCCTGTGGGCAGAGTCTCCCCTGCTGCCTGCCCCCTTGGCTCTGTCTCTAGCATGGCTGATCCAGTCGGAATGGACAGATCCCAAACCCCCAGCATGGGGCTGCGGGATGGGAGTGAGAGGGTTGGGGGAGCCCGATGGTTCAGTCATCTGCAATTTCTCTCTCCCGGGGATCATTTACTGAGCACCTTCTGTGTACACAGTACAAAATAGAGGCTCACAGCCTGCTTTAGGTACGCATTCAGCGGGGACATAAGGACCTTAGGATCAGCACTTCACTAGTGGGCAGACGCCATGGTCCATAGAGACCTGGGCAGAAAAGCTCGTGTATGATGAGGTGGTCCCTAAAGTGCAGGACAGACACCGCAGAGCAGGCCCTCCTTGCCAGCATCCAAACCTGGTGGCCTAGAGAGGTGGGAAACTGTGTCAGCAGAGGGTGGCAGGCGTGGAGCTGTCCCCACAGACAGTACCCACCATCAGCAGGCATCCGTCATGCGGGGGCTGCCTTGCTCCTATGAGGAGCCTTCCAGGGGACAGGTGGGAACTCTGGTTCTCAGAAAGGTTGAGTCCACACAGCAGATGCCTGGCTGGGATGACAAGCAGGCTCCTCAGCTGTAGAGCCTGACCTCTCACCTCTACAAAAAGCCACCCCTACCTAAGTGGCCTAAACTGGAGTCTTCTCCAAACAGCTCTGACTCAGTGCAGCCCCAGGTGGGACTCCTGCTACGGTCCCTTTTCCTCTCTCCCCCTAGGCAGTGGGGATGGGCTCCTTGCCCAGGACTCTGCATACCCTGTCGGGCAGTTCACGAGCGGTCATTCACTTTCTTCCCCTGTATTCTCCATCTCCTTGATGGAAGCTAGACAGGTCAGACGAGTAAGGAAAAGCGGGTGAGAGTCTGAGTGAGTTCCCTGGGTGCAATCCAGAGCCGGGGTCAGCACACCAGCCCACCGCACACTCCCCAAGAGCCAGGGTGGCAATACCACCCCACTGTCTCTTAGGACACACACTCTGGGGAGTCCCAGAGCTTCACGAAGCCACCCTTTCCATCTTGGGGAGCTCAGGAGGGCAGAGAGCAGGGACGATCTGCTTCTGGCTAACAAGTTCTGCTTTGTGCCAGCCCAGCAAATTGGAGTGAACTGGTCTGCTCACTCAGCTCGCCCCTCTGTTAAAATCAGGTAGAACCAAACCCATTACGGTCAGGTACCCAGAAGCTTTCCCTTCAGTACAGGGCTTTTTCCTTTGAGGCAGTCTCTCTGAGCAGCTGTGGGCCACCTGGTTGCTCCCAGTAGTGAAGGACCTATAAGGACCCCATCCTGTCTCTCTGAGGCTTAGGGGGAACCTGAATTAGAGGCTTCAGGCCCTGTCCTAGCTCCCAGGAGTTCCCTTCCTCATTCTCCTCCATCCAGTGGCCCGGGGTGGGCAGGAGACTAAGGCCTGTCAGAGGCCCATACACACTGGCCAGCTGAATACAGGAAACCCTTTTGGTAAGGGAATCTTACAGGAAATGCTCCGAAGCTCAAGGGACTCCAGGCAGGCAAAGGACCCCTGATCTTTCTTCCTCTGGAGAAGCCCTGCAGAGGAGGTTAAGTCTAGGGAGGGTAGGTGCCTCTTCCTCTTTGAGCCTCAGTTGCCTTTTTTTAAAAATGGACTAGCTCTTGACCTAAACGAAAGTACCCAGAGACAAACGAAGCCCACAGGGGCTCAATAAAGCCTCTTACCTGGGCTACGCAAGAGGCTAGAAACCACCTAAAGCAGGCGAGGTGCCTCGTGAGCTTAATTCTCTACGTGGGCAAAGCATCTGGACACGTAGTGGGTTCCGTAAGTTTCCCTCGTCATGAAAAGCCAGCGTCACTCAGCTTGCGTTCCTCCGGCCAGTCGGCAGCCCCACTCCACCTAGCTAGCTCCCCCCGTTCCACTGGGTGTCTCCCTTACCTGGGAACAGCGGGCCGGGCCCCGAGCACGGCTTGAAGGGCTGCCTGAAATCTCCTGGAGATGAGAGGAACCGCCTGCCGCTCCGGCCCCCGAGTCTCCCGGTGTCTGCGGGGGCTCCAGGGTCACTGAGTACGGATCCTCCTGCGCGCGGCGCTCCGAACTGGACTGAGCGTCGGGCGAGGAGATGCGCGGAGCCGGAGCCCCATGGATGGGCTCCGAGAGCTCAGCGGGGCCAGGGCGCTGGGCTGGCTCCGGCTCGCCGCCGGCGGCCCTGCCCTGCCCCGACACCGGTGACTCCGGTTGAGCCAGGTGCACGGAGGTTTGGGGACGACCAATGAGGGGTGCCCCCGTCTGGGGCTCCGCGCTGGGGGGAAAGGGGGAGGGTTGAGGGGAGGACGACTCCGGGAATGAAGGAACGGACCCCGGAGACTCAGGGGGTCCTTTGGAGGTGACGACCGGTGCGTGTCTCCAGCCTGGGAACCCGCCTGGCCGCCTACGTTGCCTTCTCCTCAAGCGGTGGCCGTGGGCAGGATAGAGGGGCTGCGCTCCGGGCCGCGGCCTTCCCGGCTGCTTGCCGTCCTGCAGTTCGACCCTCGTGGAAAGGATCGCAGCTTGCTCCTCACCAGGCGCTGCTAGCTCAGCTCAGCGTGCGTGTAGGAGGGGGCCCTGAACGCCGCCCCAAGGCTCAGCAGCTCCAAGTTCTCCCGAAGCCGGCGCCACTCGGCACCTCACCGCCTCTCCTCTCCCCAAGGGAGGAGAAGTTTCTTGGAGCTGGCTCCTCCCTCGCCCTCTCCAGCAGGCGAACGCGGCTGTTCGCCTCGGGGCGAGGTCTCCGAGTACTCCCCTGGTGGCCCAGGCTCTGGCTCGGGTTGCTGCCTCCTGCGCCTGCCACGGGGCTTCTCGTGCGACGCGTCCTGAGCCCACCTGCCCGGCGCGGGCGAGTGGCCTCCTGCACCCCGCCCCCGCCACGAGCGTCCAATCAGCGGAGGGTCCCGCGGCCAGGCCCCCGCCCCCGCCCCGCCCGGGTCTCTGGGCAGCGCCAATCTGGGGCTACGCGTGCCCGGGTGCGTGGGGCTGGGGCCGCGGGGAGATGTCCCGAGGCTTCCGCTGTGCTCACCGTGACCGGAAGAACGCCTGGCACGGACCCAGGAGGCTGACATGCGTACGCACTCGTTCGCACGCCAGTCCGGGCCGTGGGAACCAGCCCCTGACCTGGGCCCCAGCCTCGCCCTCAGCGAACCACCCCCATTCACCCTCAGATGCCCACCTAGGTTCGCCCGGAGCCCAGGCCAGACGGACGCTTCCTTTGCTAGCCCTTGGCCTTCGGAGCACATGGGCGGCACACGTGCAGCCACGAGGGGCCCTAAATCACTTGGGCCAATGGATGCAGCTCAGAGGGCACTTGTCCAGGGATACGTCCCCTGGCCACCAGTATCGTGGGACACTGGACCTGCCTGTCCGGGACAGAGCCAGGGCATGCTATGCTAGGGAGCGCTTTGACCCAGGCCGGACACCAGGCGTTCTTGTTTCCACAGACCACATGCTTCTTAATGTTTTCTTTAATCCAAGACCTGCCACCCCCAAAACATTTTTCAGTCTCATTAATGTCATTGCCTTACATGGGAAGTCCATGTCCCAGACCAGGAAGCCCGTGTCCCAGGCCATAAATAGAAGGTTAGTATAAAACGAGCCCGAAAACAAAGCAAGGCTTTTGAACTACGGCTGGAGCCTGCCTCCATGCAGGGAGGGTGAAGCCTGGAAGAGGTGGGAGTTCATTCGGCCAAAGTGAAGACTTTCTTCTGCCAACTTCTATCTACTAACTCAAGAAGGGGTGGGTACTATGTGCCCTTCAATTCCAGGGCCTGGGTCTGGGAGTGGCTCCGTTGGGACAGCCTCCTCCAGGGACTTCTTGTTTGCTAGTCAGGGAGACTAGGCAAGAGATCTCTGCTCCAGGCCTAACTCTCTGCATCCAAATGCTCCATCCTGGACTAATCGTGGAAATCTCTGGAGCATGCATGTGCCATTTTTAAAATGGGCATCAATATTGCCAAATCCATAGAGTTTGATAAAACTGTTTACCTGGTCTTGGACTTTAAAGCAGGAATTGGCTTGTTCCATCCGACCTTAAACCACCTTGACATTCCCCAGAGGGAAGATGCAACAGGTCTGGGGAAAGGGAAACTGGGAGAGGTGGGTGGTCAGCCCTATTGGGGCCCAAGGTCACCAGTAGCAGAAAAGTGGCCAGATCCGAGCCCTGTGCCTTTTCCCAAACCAGGCTTGACTTCAGGGAGCTGGCTTCAGCCCGGAGGGTTTGCACTGGCTTCACGCACTCACGGAGCCCATCAGCTTGGCACTGGGAGGCAGGTAGAGCGGCATGGTTCCCCTGGGAGGAGGAGCCAGGAGATGTCAGGCCACCAGGCCAGCTCTCCACCCTCATCAGAGCTGGCACAGGAACACAATATTTGGGCTTCCAGCCAAGTCCTCCATGAGCCGGTCGTACCCTCACTGACCAGATCCAAGGGTGCTGGCAGTGCACGTGTTTCTGGCTAGCATCGGTGGACCCATGCTGTTTGGGCCTAATTAAAAATAATAGCTCAGTCATCAGTCAGGGGCACAGAAGTGCTCCACATCCAGGGATACTTCATGGAGCCGTGGAACCCGACCCACATGTGCCGACTTTCTTGTCCTTCCCTGCACACAGACATCTTCAGGTGAACCACTTGCCCAAGCTTCCTCCCTCCCTACAGCTAGCTCCCTCTCTCCCGTAAACCATGACCCTAAAACCTTTTCGCTCTCTTTCTTTCTTTTTTGAACACATAGCTTATTTGTTATTTATTTATTTATTTATTTATTCTTCTCTCATACAATACGTTCTGGCCACAGTCTTCCCTCCCTCCACTTCTCCAGTCCCCACATGCATGCTTCCCCTCCCCCACCCCCCAGATCCACTGTTCCTCTGTTTCCCTTCAGAAAGCAGCTGTCCTCCCAGGGATATCAAACGAACATGAATTTAATAAGATGCAACAGACAAGGCACAAACCCTCATATCAAGGCTGGACGAGGCAACCTGGTAGCAGGAAAAAGGGTCCCAAGAGCAAGCAAAAGAGTCAGACACCTCCTCTCCCACTATTAGGAATCCCACAAACACCCCAAGCTTAACAACCACAGCATGCAGAGGACCTAGCACAGACTTAGGCAAGCTCCGTGACTGTCTCTTCCATCTGTACAAGCCCCTATGAGCCCTGCTTAGTTGATTCCATGCGCACTGCTAAAACCTTTTTTTTCTTTCTTCCGTCCTTTCTTTTTATTTTTCTTTCTTTTTTATTTTTTGCAAGACAGAGTTTCCCCTTGTATGTCTGACTGTCCTGGAACTCACACTGTAGACCAGGTTGGCCTCAAACTCACAGAGATCTGCCTGCCTCTGCCTCCCAAGTGCTGGGATTAAAGGTGTGTGCCACCACTGCCCGACTTTTCTAATCTGTTTGTTTGTTTGTTTGTTTGTCAACACAGATTTTCTCTGCGTTACAACTCTCCCTGTCCTGGAACTAGCACTGTAGACCAGACTGGCCTCATAGAGATCCTCCTGCCTCTGTCTCCCAAGTTCTGGGATTAAAGGCATGTGCCACCACTACCCAGCGCTAAAACGTTTTCTTAAAATGCCACCCTTGCTCAAAGATTTTCAAGAGCTCCCTATTACCAGATATATAAAATCTAAGTCTCTCAACCTGGCCCACAGGGCAAATCACATCACTTCCAGGTTCCTGAGGAAGCAGGTGGTCACCTGTAGCAATACTTTCTCAAGGTTAAACTGTACACATACTTCACAGCAGACTTCTGAATTGTTTCTCTTGTACAGCTTTCTCCTAGTATTTCTGATAGGGAGAAACTACTGGTCTGCCTAGTCTCTTCCATCAATGCCTGATGCTTTTCTTCAGGGGGAGGTCTTTGGTTTCTTAGAGACAAAGGTTCTCCATGAAGTCCTAGTTAGCCTAGAACTCACAAATATTTGTCTGCCTCTGTCTCATGAGTGCTAAGACTAAAGGCATGTGCCACCACACTCGGTGAAGCCTATTCTTTAAGTCTTACTTCTTTGTCTGTGGAGTGGGTACTAGAATAGTAGTGACCTCATGGGATTGGATTAAAATAAACGGCAGCGTGGACTGCACCATGATGACTTCCTTATAGACCTTGTCTCATCTGAGCCCACGTTTTGGACATATGCCTCATCCCCCACTCACATAAACACACATGCACACCATATGCGTGTGAGTGCCTTGGAGTGAGGATAGAGCCTGAATCGTCTCTGGGGCAGCTCTTACCATTTTGCTACCATGGGTTTTTTGTTGGTGGTGGTTTGGTTTGGTTTGGTTTGGTTGGTTTTGGTTTTGTTTTCAAGACAGGGTTTCTCTATGTAGCCCTGGTTGTCCTAGAACTCTCTCTGTAGACCCTGCAGGCCTCAAACTCACAGAGATCCTCCTGTCTCTGTCTCCTGAGTACATGCACCACCCGGCCTGGTAGCACTGTGGTTTGTTTGTTTGTTTTTTAATACTTACTGAATTGTACTCAACTGAACACACAAGTTCTTGGAGACAGAGGGAGGAGAACACAGAGAGGTAGTTCCATCCTGTCGTCCCAATGGCCTCAGAAAGGGAAACTAGGGGGAAGCTGTTCTAACCTAGTAGCCAGCAAGAGACTGAGCTGGGAGATAAATGTCCCCAAGAGAAACAACTCATTGACCAAATGCGCACCCACACACACGGGCCCTGGCACTTTTTCTAGAACACTGGTTCCTAACCCCAGGAACTTAAAAATGGAGCCGATCTGGGTGCCAGCTCCACAGCTAATTTAAATGCTCCAGTGTTGGTCAGTACCCCAGTGATCCCAGCACACAGCCAGCACAATTAGGCTTTCCGAAGCAGCCTTTCTCAAGAGACAGACACTGGACCAGCTGGGGCTGGCTAGAGAAGCAGAATCCAGCCCCACCCACCTGCCTGGTATGAGGTTCCTGCCCTCCCGGGGTCTTGGATATGCCCCAGCCTGAGACCCTCCGCACAGGAAGAACTGTGGTGCTTTGGAAGTCACCCGACCCAGTCTTCTGGTTCTGCAAAGACTGAGTTCATCACGCGCTGTTGAGAGCCAACGTCAGCCAGCACAGTGCTCCTTCCCATTGAATGCATAGTATTCCTGCTGGACAGTTTTGGAATATAGGTCAGTTTTGAACTTAATGACTGGGTCAGACACTGTCAAGGCACAGAGCAGCTGGTTGGACCGACTGTGCTTGGTCTCATAGGTCCTTCACAACCGAAAATCAGCAGGAAAACTGTGTGCATAAAAAACTCAGTCCCCAAAAGCCTCATGGTCCCTTGTCAGGAGCCAGGCAAGACAGCATTGCTATGTATCTCTTGAGTCAGCTACTTAACCCCTCTGCCCTTCATTTCCCTGTATGCTGCATGTTGTCTGTGCTGCTGATTTGTGGTTCCTGGGGTTTTCTGTGCTCTCTATCCCTTTCCTTTTGCACACAGAGCTGCTGAGAGAGGCCAGTGTGCTGAGCTCTGGTTATGGTATCCCAAGGGGCACACCTTGGCTATCTAAACTCCTTTCAATCCTGTTACACATGGAAACAGTGCAGTGTCCTCCCCACACTTCCTGTCAGATCGCCTGGTATCTGGAGCCACTGTCCACACAGATCTGTCACACACCTCTGTAGACGGAGGCTGCTCCTTCGTTCCCAGTCACACTGACTCGATATATTCATACAGAAACTGTATTAATTACAACACTGGTTGGCCAATGACTCTGGTGTATTCCTAGCAAGCTCTTACATATTAACCCATTCCTATTATTTTACATTTTGCCACATGGCTCGTGGCGGCTAGCAGCTCACATCTTTCTCCTCTGGCAACTACATGGTTTCTCTCTGACTCTGCCTACTCTCTCTATATATCTTTTCCAGCCTGCCTATATTCTGTTAAGCACTTTCTTTATTAACCAATGGCAATAAAACATATTTATAGCATACAGAGGGAAACCCCACTTCATGCCTCAAGAGCGGAATGTACACATTATTCGTAAATGTGAGTAAGTGGACAGCTGTAAGCTCCCTCTTCCAACCAGCAGGCATGCTGGACCACAGGCAGCGAGGCCCCATCCCCCATCCCAG